AACATGCTACTGTACCTTTGTTGCGACATGGGTCCATCTTCTTTTAAAAATCTCAGCAGGGGGGCTGAGGGCCTCCTGGTGAATTTTTCTGTGGCCTCTATCTGCAGTCAGTAGAATGTTACGTTGGGAGACCACCATGTAATCCAGAGCAATGACTGTTACCCTTACAGGGTCTTTATCGAATCAGTGCTAAATTACAGAGTCAACACACTTACTACATTGTTTTCTGCAGGCCTGTGATACAAAGACATTCCTGGACAAGATGAAGCAATCGAGCTGGACGGTGAGAATTAAGTGTTTGCAAGACAGGCAAACCTGATGACCCAGAACAGGAAGACACAGCTGCTGGGTCATCTACATAGCAACCTATTTTTCAAGAAAAACTTCTGTTGAACAGTATTGTGAAAATGAAGGGGTGGGGGTAGCTCCCATTTATGGACATCCAGCCATCCAGTTAGCTGTAAAATCCCTCTTGGTAGCTGTTCTCTCCTTGCTTTACCTTAAAAGGTTAAAAAAGTCCCCCAGGTAAAGAAAAGGGCACCTGACCAAAAGAGACAATGGGAAGACTAGAACTGTTTACAATTGGGAAGGAAGCTTTCCCTTGGTGTCTGTGGTTGTCCTCCGGAGCGGGGGGTGATGCAGAGCAAAGTCAGGGCTATGACTACGCTTTAAGCCAGGTCTGAGATATCATCAGATTGTACCTAGAATTACTGAATTGAAACTCCGCAAATATGTAAGTAATTTAGAAATGTTTAGAAAGACGCGATTAGGTTTATTTCTCTTTATTTTTTAAGGCTTGTGGACTCCTCTGTGCTAACCTCAGACGCTTTTGTTTGCTTGTAATCTTTAAGATGAACCCCCAAGAAAGTTATTTTGGGTGCTTAATTTTTGGAATTGCTCTTTTAAAATCTTGCAAAAGCCTAATCTCCAAATGTATTTTCTTCCTTTTTTGTTTTTAAACTTGGGATGCGGCTTGTGTAGGGAAAGCCCCAGGTGGGCCAGGCCGGTTTGTTTACCTGCCACATCCACAGGTTCAGCTAATCACGGTTCCCAGTGGCTGCGGTTCGCTGCTCCAGGCCAATGGGAGCTGCTGGAAGCGGCACGGGCCGAGGAACGTATTCCTCTAGGAATTTCCAAGATATTATCATGGTGCTTGTCTCTAATAAACAAGTTAGCCTTGCTGTTCCTTGAAAGGACATGGTACAGGCCTCTGATCAATAATAGGCCCACAAGCAGTAATGCTTCAAAAACAGAAATAATATTTCTTTAGAAATGAGTGGGAGGAGCTTTTAGAGGGGGTCACATGCCACCTCTTGCTCCAGGTTACATGTCAATCTCTGCCCCAGGACTTGCCCTAATTGGTCAAACTCCTCTTGGGGCAGGCCTATGGGTCATCCAACAGGCTAGAGATAGGCACAGAATCCAGGTTTCCTATGTCCTAGTCCTGTGCTCTTCCCTGGTCATACATTAACCCCTTTTCTCACACAATGCCCTTTCCCAATAAAGACAAGTCCCTCTAGGTCTGGTCCCTGATACATTCACCATAAGGGCTGTGAGGAAGACGTGGGCTCAGGGCAGGAGGAAAGGGCACTGAGAGAAGGAGCTGGTTTGTGGAGAAAAGATTGAAGTAACTTCAGGGGCACCATTACAAACTGTGGTGTGCGGAATATTAATCTTGATTCCTGGGGCTACTTAGGCACCTGAAAACTCTAGATTTTGTATATAAGGTGGTGGGCCCACAACCAAAAAATATAGCGGGGGGGAGGTCAGCTCAAAAAGTTTGAAAACTGCTGAGGATGCAGGCAGGGTGTAACTAGAGGCTGTGTGCAGACATGGAGGTAGCTCAGGTTCCAGGTGGGGGTGTACTTCAGGGGCCAGGCAGGAGGTTGCTAGGGGCTTTGTTCCTGGAGGGGTGTTGCTCAAGGAGGAGGCAGAAGGTATATAGGGGTCGAAGGGTGTAACTCAGGATGCAGGGAGGGGCTGTGTCCAAGGAGGTGCTGCTACTGAGGGTTCAGCCATACCCTCAGTCCCTAGTTGGCACAGTGGGTGCAGCTCTGCGGATCAGTGGCCGGGGTGAGGTGCGTGCGCTGCCCACCCACTTCCGCAATGGGCAGGCAGAAGCGAACATCCCGATACCAGCCCCCACCCCATTCTATGCAGCATATCAGCAGGTGAGGAGCAACGCCAGCGGTGGCCCCATAGTGGGGGTCAGGGCAGCATGGCTGCAAACAACAGCGGAGAAGGGCAGAGAGGGTGGGGAGAGGAAGGGCAGCATCTTCCTTTCTGCTGCACACTTCACACAAATCTGGTACAAAACTAGCCGGGGTTGGGGGAAGGCCTTTCCTAAATGGTGTTCCCGGGGTAACAATATTTAGCTACTGCAAAGATATGCAAAGCATTGTTTCTCCCTCTCCATGGCAGGACCCCAGGTGGTTGCCTCAGTTACACCCTCACTTGCAAATTTGCTCAGGTTTCTATAAGCCTGGGTCTTTGGGATTTGCAATGCCCTTTGGGCTCTTGCATGGAAGCCTGCTGCACAGGGCAAGGTCTGGACACTCAGGCACAAGAGAAGGGACCTCATGATGGGGAGGTTTGGGAGGCGAGGGGAGCAGAGAGAGGGTTGACATGCCGTGGAGCATTGATGTGGGCGTTACACACCGTGCAACCAAACTGGGACTGAACCCCACTCCTCTGACAACAACACAAACCAAACGGCTTTGTCAAAGGACCAAGGAAAAGGTCACGACTTATCCATGTGAGCTCACTGAAACGTATAAATATGTACGTCCCCTGGTCTAGGAACACCCGTGGGTGGATTTTACATATGGCAGTGAACATTTCTTTTATTTATATGTAGTTAAGATAACAAAAGGAAGGGATTTTTATGGAAAAGAAATAGCAAAACAGGCCCTGTGTGGAATCAAAATACTCACAGGCATGTTTGCAATACACCACAACCAGCAGCTACTTTTATTAAAAGGAGAAGAACAAGCTATTGCCGGGGGGACAGAAGTGCTCCCTTGTGGATTTTTTCCGTCTTGCGAGATTCTTTCCAGCCCAGATGAAAAGCATCCAAGGATTTTAGAAGCAAAGCGTCGTCTGCCAGATTCCGAGAGATCCTGCATTGACAATCTCTGCTGCCATCACTCACTCCCTTTACTGCAAAAAGGGGAAGAAATCTCACATTCTATGTTTATAGCCATTAAAACAAGGACAATGTAACGTTACATTTCAAATTCAAGGTAGAGCAGGAACTTCCCCGTCATTTAATAGTGTGTGCAGATGTAACTCCAACAGACTTTGCTTGACAGCGGTTGGGATTGAACCTTGAGCCTCGGGAGTTTAATGCATGAGCTTCTACAGTATGAGCTAAAAGCCAACTTCCTCTTATTTAAGGTTGTAGAACAGTCTATCTATTATATTTAAACATGTGTACTGGGTGACTTCTGAAGTAAATATGCTGGACTTCTGAACATGGCTCTCCCCTCCCTCTGTCCCTAACTTTCCAGTAAAGGAGTCACATTCTCATTTCCTTACAAAACTCCTTCCTATTAACATTCTACACAGTTTAAGTGACAACCAAAAAAATAAATGAATAAAGTCGCTGGGTGATTAAAAAAAGAACAAGGGCAAATTACCGGTAAGTATAAATATAGCTAGAAATATCATGTACAATATCATTGAAATGTTCATCAAACTTTTAAAAAAAGTTGAAATTTGAAATTCCATTGAGGGAATTAATCAAAATTGTGAATTTTAAAAATATTGACTATCTCTATGATATATAGAAAAATAAAACCAAAAATATGTAAGATGTAGAAGAATGTGACTCACGTCCATGTTTAGTTTTCCTTTCAAACACACTTTTGTTCATAGCTAAAACTAAAACAATAAATATTTAATTAGAGGATAAATAAGTTATTCTTAAAGAATGCCTGGACTATTCTGCCTTCCAGCTCACGTAAGCCTAATAGCTTGACCCTATTCAGATGGTACTTCCCTATCTGATGATAATCTCTGTACATATTCAGGTTTCAGTGTAGCAGCCGTGTTAGTCTGTATCCGCAAAAAGAACAGGAGTACTTGTGGCACCTTAGAGACTAACACATTTATTTCAGCATAAGCTTTCGTGGGCTACAGCTCACTTCTTCAGATGCATAGAATGGAACACACAGACAGAAGATATTTATACGTAC